TTGTTTCCGTGGCCTTGGCCCCTCATTATTTAATTTTCATCATACTTTTCACTATTAATTACCTAAATTTAAGATATCTTAATGAAATCAGCGATCGGTTATCTAGCAATAGGAAGAAATATACGGTTCGTTCCCTGACGAACTTAAAAATTTCTCGAGACTGATTTGTAATTTTATTTATCAAGTTTTATTCTTTATGTGTTTATTGTAAGTCTACTGCACAGTGTAAAAATGCCATCATTACGTCTACCATCAGCAGACATGCCATATAATTGCTTGCGAAGTCTTCAAAACATCACTTTTTCTTTCGAACAGCAACTCAGCACGTACGTACATAGGTGTCTTCATCTAGTGGCTGTAATACGTTTTAAAAAAGATTAACTTACGCAAAATTATGGAAGTAGACTTCCTATCTATGATCCAGGATCGAAACGGCCATTTTGCAGGAAGTTTTATTGCTTAATATTTTAAGCCTTGGATCTCTGATTAATTGCACGGATAGAAAATTTGGTGCAGCCAGGGTGCCTGAATTTAAGAGCCTACCCCACATCCAGAGTCGTAGCTAGGGTTTTCAGCGCCCAGGGACAACTGAAGATTTCGCGGGCCCTACTGCTTGCCAAAGATGGAAAACATTTAATTCTAAATTGTCGTAACGTCAATTTGGCGCCCCTTGGATTCTGCTCCCGGGGACAGATGCCCCCCTCTAGCTACACTTCTGCCCACATCGAATAATAGTGTAATTTGCGAATGGTACAAGAAAATAACTTGTTACAAGCTTACACATAATAAATTCAAGAAATGTACACACAAACATGTTTACATAGCATACTTAGGGTTTTTTTTTTTTTTTAAATAATTCTTGGAGTTTAACGGAGGCTAAAGTTGTTCGATAATTAAATTAATAATCAGGTTGGTCGTGCAAAGATCTCAGGGGTTGTGAATAAGGGATCTGGAAAGCTACGAAATTAGCTGTCGAGCTGGTTTAAACCTGTGATATCACATACATGTATAATATATAAACAACTTATTAAGCAAGTGTGAATCCATAGGTGCGATATGAAAATTAATGAAGATAATACATATGCATGATATAAATACCAAAAAGTAATAAATAAATAAGTGAAGATACAACAAATACAAACAAAGTACATGTCAATTAAGGCCTCTGTTCAAAGAAACCAAAAGGATAGTTCCAAGTTCAATATTGTAGCCCCTAGTAGTGATACACTACAATAGCCACATGACTGATATTGACAAGAGTGATATGTTGAAGTCTTTGTTCGATAGAAACAGAAAATCAAAAAAATGGTGTCACCGACTTTTTCTCTTAGAATTTTGTAAATCACACTTTTCATATGTATACAGTTATTGCAAACTGATAGAGAAACTGCCATTGGTTCAATACAAAAGAAAAGTGACACAAGGACTCTTTACAAGTCGTCTACTATTCTCAAGAAACGAGGAAGACCAAGTTCCTCTACTGAAACCTCTAAGATACCATCTGCAACAAAACGCACGGGTACCAAGGTTTCAGTTTCTGACGTATTAGAAAACAAAATAAAGGAGGACACTCGTCAGTTTTTATTAAATTCTGAGGCGTTGTGAATTATGTTCACCAAAAACTGCATCAAAGCTACATTCTTACCGCTCCTTATGCAACATTTTCCTCCGTGTAAATGAAAAAAAGAATTCTTTTTATGATTTCCACAATGAGTAACATTTTTATATAAAAAATCTGATGTATACATCAGACTCCCTTGCACGGAATATTAAACTATATGCATTATTTCCCTGCATTTCATTTAAACTTATTGAAATAAATTAAATCTATTTCGTCAATAGCACATAAACCCCAACAGAACAAATGTGCTTGTAAGGATCTTAAGTTTTACTAACGTTTATTTTATTTTAAATCTTTACTATCACTTCTTATTTTCTACTTCCGGCCAGAATTAAAAGCTTTAACTTATTTATGCAAATTTATCTTGCAAACGCCAAGTACTTAAGTTGTGGCTTTTTGCCAAGCAAGAGAGAGGAAGGAGTTAGTAGAAGCCGCTTGCCTTAGCAGTTTTACTCGGTTGCTGGTTGCCTTCAAGGCCAGAGGTTTAATCCTCTTGATAATTTTAAACGTATCGTAGTGTTAACAGTTCTCTGTACTACATACGGCCTTTCTGTTAATATACGGCCAATTTTCAAGTAGCCACTTGTTTATTAATCCAAAGTTAGTTTAGTTAGAATTTAGTTAATATTTTTATATTCTTACGTTCAGACCACAAGTGGTTGGTCTCTGTATTCCGAAGTCCGGAAATCATTGTAAAGAGAGAAAAATAAAGGGTTTCGTATACCCTTCCTGTGTATCTTGTCTACTTCCCACATTTATTGAACACAGCTTTAGTAACCTCCCTGTTCCGAGTCAGGTCATTTAATGTTCCCCAAGCAAGTAAGGAGGAACACTGAACCTGATATGCTTTTTAAAATTCACTGTATTTATTTACCATAGCGAAGCTCTGGCGCTAGGTTCACTTAACAGCGTTATATCTCATTCATTTTATAACTCAGAATGCAAAAAAAAAAAAAAAAAAAAAAAAAAAAAAAATTATATCATCTGAAGAATTATCTAATCGTTGTCACATGTTATATTCAAATACTAAAATTAATCTATAACGACGTATCAAAGAACTGAAACAAATAAAAAAGAAAGTTTTTCACAGACCACTCAGGGCTGCTTACCTAATGCGCATGAGCTACTCGTAAACATTCTTTGTCCGAAACAGACTGGCGATAGTACTTTCTGCTAATATGAAACACTTATTTCCTCGAATTTCATTACAGATGTATTTCTCATTTAATTAATCTTGCCACTCACAGAAGGAAATCCATGACTAGTGTTAAGCTCTTATAGGCCCTTGTTAGGTATTTAAAGACCACTGACCATTGCCATTACATATGAATATATTGTTGCGTGCGTACGGGTTCGTTACGAAATGAATGCACAAGTCCGATGAAAAATGAACAAAAATTTATTATTATCACAACAAAAAATGCTTAAATTTCCTCAAATAATCGTGCAGTATTACAATATCTCACAGTAGTTATCTTTTGACTACTCAAACGTTCAAGAGAATTTAATTCAAAACAGCAAGAGAAAGCTAATCCGCGAATTCGCTAGTCAACAAGAGCAGTTTTCTAAACAAACTCTTAAAACAACAACAAACTAACTAAAATCAACTACTTTATTTATTTATTTCTGATTCACCTCAGGTATACAACTACTTTGAGTTTTGACCTGTTCAATCTGTGCAGCCTATGAAGGCCATTCACGGTTTTTAGTACATTAAGGTGCTACTGCACCTCGCCCGGGGGCGTGACATTAGAACAAGGTGCAATCATTCCGTGGCGAAGTCAAGCTGAATATACGAAAATTGGGAAATTAGTACTTGGAAAACAAAATCATCCAGCATTCAAGTCCATGCATGATGCATTCGGTCAGGATAGTAGCGTAAGGTTACTGAGATAGGGTGCGCAGTCCAGCAGGTAATCAGGAGTAGAACCACAGCAGTGGGCGTGGTGAGATCACACAATACACAGTCCTTAACACATATTAATTAATTCAGAGTCTCTAGCCTGCTTCCAGGCAAATAGCCAATTTTGGCAGTAACACAGTACTTGGTTAAATAAGGTTAGATAGAGCACAAAACACAACTTCATATGTACACTATTTACATATTTACATCACCACCGCGCATTATGGTGAATTGACCGAGGTCTCTTCACCACGCTGTCCACCGTAGGGTCATAATTACCGAGTTCTCTTAGCGTGTGCACTGGAGAATTATCCATTTTTTCGAAGAAGTTGTGCGCCTCCATGAGGATTTGTTCAGGAATGGGCTTTATTTTCAAGTCTGCATGAATGATGCTATTTCGTACAAACCAGGGCGCGTTAGTGATGGCTCTCAAAATTTTGTTTTGAAGGACTTCTAGTTTTTCTCCTATCCGTCTTATTGGCAATTGCCCACGCTGGGGCGGCGTAGAGCATAACTGGCCTAATCATAGTGAGATAGATCATGCGTTTAGCTTTTAAGCTCAATTTCGATTTCCTACCTATAACAGTATAAAGCGACATGAAAACTCCGTTTGCTTTATTTACTTGGTTGGTTACGTGCTCTTTGAAGGTGAGCCTATCATCTAGGGTAACTCCCAAGTACTTTGCGGACGAGCAAACTGGAATCACATCATTCTCTATCTTGATATCCGTGTTCGTAGTGACATTTCTTCTGTAGCGACGGAATTGGACAATTTTACATTTCGCGGTATTAATTTTAATTCTCCAAAGTTGACACCAAGCAGCTACTATGTTGATGTGAAACTGTAGGTTAGTAAGAGCAAGTTGGGGGCTTTTAGATTCCGATAAAATCACCGTGTCGTCTGCATATTTCAGGGTTTTAGCATTCAGTGGGTTGGGTAAATCATTAACGAAAATGTTGAATAATTTTGGGCCAATAACAGACCCTTGCGGGACGCCGCTGGCAATGATTTTCCTTCCGGAAAGGGAGTCTCCAACTCTCACCTGGAAGGTTCTTCTTTTTAGGTATGAGATGATTAACTTCACAAGGCTGACAGGAAAAAGAAAGTTATTTAGCTTGTAAATCAGTCCTTCGTGCCAGACCTTGTCGAAGGCCTTCTCAAGGTCTATGAAGCATGCTGCCACACCAGTCTTGTGGAAAAAAGCTCTCGTGATAATCTCAACGATATTTAGTACTTGATGGGTTGTACTGTGGTGTTTCCGGAAACCAAATTGGGCCGGGTCTATCAGATCCAATCTTTCTAGGTGGTCTGTAATTCTGTTGTTTAAAGCTTTCTCAAATATTTTTCCGATAGCCGGAAGAAGGCTAATAGGACGATAACTGTCTGCAAGTGAGGGGTTTTTCCCCGGCTTCAGTATAGTGATAATAATCGAGTGTTTCCACTGCGAAGGGTAATAACTCGTCCTGATGCAAGCATTAAAGATGTTTGTAAGTAGCACTATACACCTTGGAGGGAGGTGCCTTCAGAGCACGATTGCTGATCCCGTCAAACCCGTGAGCTTTCTTGGTATTGATATGTTTAATGATAGTATGGACTTCTTTCGGGGAGATGAATTTTATATAATCCGTATTATCCCTGTTTTTGAGCATGTTAACATTTTGAACCTCCTCTTCGTGCTGAGGGTTGGGCCTAAACGTCTCCTCAAGTTTCTCTGCGAACACATTGGCTATGTCTTCTTCAGAATAGTGGTTGGATCCCATGTGACTAATTGGAGCAATGTGATACGTCCTATCTTTTTTCATCGCATTCACAATTTTCCACATAGAGCTTGTATCAGTGCTAAAATGCTCTAAAAGATTATCCCAATTACTTGACCTGAATTCCATGATGCCGGCCTGAATTTTCCTGTTGAGGTAGTTTATAGTCCTTTTAAGTGAAGGGTCTTGCGTAACATTAAACCTTTTCCTAATTCTATTTCTTTCCTTTATGTCGCGAGATATATCTTCAGGGAGTTTATTCCTCAAGGTATCTCTGCAAGCATACGAAGAACTCTTAATCGCATTTTGAATTTTGGAAGTCAGCGAATAAATTTCACTTTCAATTTCCCCGCTGTCTCTCAGATGGGGATTACAAGGCATGTTCCGTAGTTTATCTGTAAAGCTGGTCCAATTCACTTTAGTGCGTTTCCTTGGAGGGTCAGGGTAAAAGCCGTGAAAATCAAACACTACTGGATAGTGGTCTGACGACAGTTCTTTCTTGACTTCTAAGTAGGGAGTCTGACTAATATTTTTAAGTAATGCAATATCTAGTATGTCTCCGCCACTTCGACAGTAGAAAGTGTATTCACTTGGGGTGACTAGCTGTAAGTTATTTGCATAGATATAGTTTTTAAGCAGACTACCATTTCTGTTACCCATCCTGGCTCCCCAGGAGCGATCTTTTGCATTTAGATCACCCGCAAGTATGGTAGGGAAATTCGTCGACATTATGATGTCTAAGTCCTGTAAGTTAATATCCTGCGGAGGGTTGTACGCTGCTACTACAAGGTAATTCTCATTAGTCGTACTGTTAGCAAGAATTGCAGTGTATTCTAATCTCGTCGTCGTCGGGAGCTTGATAGTGTTGAATTTAATGTGATTCTCGATCACAACTGCAGTACCTCCGCGGGTAGTCCTGAGCCTATCGCTTCTAATAACGCTATAACCTGGGATTTTGAACTTATCAACATAATGTCAATATCATGAGCCGATAAAAATTCCATTAATTCAAGTTTCTTGTAGTAAACACCATTTGCATTGAAAAGGGATATCCTTAAGTAAGAATGCGTCGCATCGATCAGATTTGTCACGTGAACATGGTTATTAGAACTCATATTCAATATTTGAAATGTATTCGATGGCTTCCACGCAGACTTCAATTTTACCCATTAGGGACTTTGCTGATTTAAACTTCGTAAAAAGTTCCTTCACTTTGCAAAGCTGCTTTTTGAACCAATCAAATATGTTCTCTTCAGGTTTTCCGCCTTTCGCCCAACTGGGCCAAGTTTTGGCGTTTTCGTCAGTTTTTCCACCCGGCAAGGTGGGGAAGTCATCTTTATTCAAAGTAAATCTAGCTTCCTGCTCTTTCGCTGAGAGTTGGGGTTCATTTCTTCGGATTTTAGGATACTTTTCACATCCCTTGTACGACGAGACATGACTTCCATCACAGAGCGCACAGCGCGCCGGTAGTTTCTCCTTGGGAGTTTTGCACGTGAACGTTTCATGCCAGCCTGCACATTTCATGCAGCGGGCTCTGTAATGGCAGTGCTCTCTTGAGTGTCCATAACGCTGGCACCTGTGACACTGCACAGGTCCAGGCTTCTTCTTGTACTGTCTGACTACGACATCAAGTCCTCGAAGTTTTTCCAAATTCCAAATCTTCTTTCCATCATCATTTCGCTTGGTTTCAACTAGAAACAAGGGTAGCTTCACTATCTGACCTTCCCTATAGCTGGTCAGCTGCCTCACTTTTTCTACGGGTATTTTTAACTCCTTCAGCTCGTTTTCAATAGCTTCTACTTTCATCGTTCTGGGTAGCTTTTTTATCACCGCTTTTAGCGGTCTATCTGAGTTAATTTTAAAAGTGTGGAAAGGGACTCCTTCACTTGCGAACATGCCTGTGATCGCTCTATAATCATCAGGGGTTTTTGCTCGAATGGTTAGGGTATCTCCTTTCATTCCAGCTTTGTAACTTTTAATTTTTAAATCTTCCTCTATTCTCTCTTTTATCTTATCCCAGTCGCCACTGAACTCGTCTAACACGATTGGGGGAATATGGTTTGCCGTTTTTCTGGGGGCAATAAATTCACCTTCGGTATCTGCACTATCCATTTTGTCGTCATTCTGTAAATCCGCAAATTTAATTTTCTGAGGTGGTTCATTTATCTCATTCTCAGATCGCGTTCTTTTTAGGGTATTACGAGGGGCAATAAATCCGTCCTCATGGACCACGTTTTTCTTTTTAAGCTTAGAATTTGTTCTCCTAATTTTAGGGGTTTCCTGCACTTGCATATTTAGCTAGAGATCACTTAACTGCTCTCAAATATGCCGAATTATCTCAGTAACCGGTCCTGCTTTCAAAACTGATTTTTCTAATTGTATCTTTTCCATAATCAGATAACTTTTCCTTCGGTAGGTTACGGATAACCCGTTCATCTAGATATTTCCGTAAATCATCTATCTCTATTTCTGACATGGCTAGCTCCAACCTAGCTGTTAGCTACTGGTAGCCGCAGCTTTGTATAAACTTTATACTCTGATGTAATTTAAAGCGTTTCAAAAGCGCGTCACAAGTTACAAATTTTCAGAAACGTATTTTAACACCAACTTACTTACTTCATTAACGAATTTTACATTTCAAACAATTCACTGTAAGGAACTGAGAGGTTTTCCTCCTTTTATAAGATTTTAAATCGCGCGCGAGAACTTTCTGGAACTTTCTCGAAAGAGATATTTATTAGATGTTACATGCACGCGCTCTTGTATTTTCAATTTTCCGGCTTAGCTCTTTTAATATTCGTCACGCGCTGCACTGCGAGGGAAATAAAACCATTTAATTTACAATTCAACTACCATAAGTTATTTAAATGCCAAATATTATAGAAGAAAGATTTAACTTCATGCCGGTTTATGCATTTCAGCAACTGGCTAAAGAATTAAATATCCTTTTTTTTAAGTGCATATGAGTGTAAATGATTAGTTTTTTTCCTAACGTTGCGCGCCTCTAACTTGCACGCAACCAAGGGTGACTGTGAAACTGTATAAAAGATAGAGTCTTGTGAAGGGTTTAAGTCCCTTTTTATTCAACGTAATAAATTACAATTGCGTGCTCTTGACGCTTACAGACGGTGCCAACTCGGCAGTCAAATAAAAATAATAACCTGAAAAAAGAAACTAAAGACAAGATTCTAACTACGAGGCTCTCTCTAAAATAACTAACTCACCGCGTTTTACAATACCGCTGCTAATTCAGCAGACTTGAAGCTCACTGGAACGATTAACCACTACTTCCCGCCAAGCACATAGGCCGCCGAAACGCGGGGTTCTTCAATTCTCGCTAACTACCTCCGCGCTCGTGAAGTAAGAATATCACTCACACCGAACTCGTTTCCTTCTATTTAAATCAGAATACTTCCGCTGATAATTTGAATCCTTGCGCGTTCTACTAAAATTTACATATTCTGGCATTGGCAGTTCCAGGGGAAAGTAAGGCTTGACAGGAAAGATAGTTTAAACTTAAAATAAATGTTAGTTAAAATAAATATAAACCCTACATTTGCCGCTGCCAGAATTTGGAAAACTTGGAAGCAGGTCCTACAAACGACCTGTTGTAAGTTTCTCTAATTCTGAACTAACTGGCGAGAAGCCTCGTTTACACAAAAAAATCTTATGTAACAAATAAAATTCTGTTGATCGTTTTAAACTCTCTCTTCTTACAGCAACTTTTCCTGGACTTCATCAATCAATCTTGGTCTTTCCTTCCAGCATCTGGAAGGAATAAGTATCAGTATCTTTCTAAATACATTATAATTTACACTTTCTTGACACAATAAATTTTTGTTTTTAAACGATTCGTTTTTCTTAGTTATTGCTTACTTCACACATTCATTCAATTTTTCAAGCATTAATTTAACTTTACCCTGGCTCTCCACCATGTGTGGTGTCAAACGGGAATATTCGTGTTTTAGTCTTACAACACTTCCCCTAACCACCATGATTTGTTAGAATTCAACGACCAAATAGACACACCTTACTCGACATTCTACAACTCAATGAGCTACTTTAATATTCTTAAAAATTCAAATGTAGGTGGAGAACCCTACAAAACACATTCATTCTAACTTCCCCCTCATTCATCTTTAAACATGCAGGCTTTCGCTCTAAAGCATGACTTTATCTACAATTTAATACTTAAATTTTGAACTTCATTGCTTTTAAGCATTTCACTTTTAGCATCTACAATTTTATGCTTCTAGACTAAATTCTACTTTTACATAACTTTCAAGTATTTACATACATTTACAAAATTTAATACATATGCTTTTTACAATTTACCATAAAATGAATAAGAGAAAATAAATTTTTACTTTACTCATTCTTCGCCAAGCTGGCGGCACTGAAACTAAAATTCTTATTAATACAAGAATACGAAGTTATTTTTATCTTCGGCCAAATTTTGGCTTTAACATAACAGAATTAGTCTTTCGACCAACAGAAAATGCTTGTTTTTAGCTTTTACACTTAAAGAAAATAATACTTTTGCCTTAGCTAAATAAAGTAAAACAAAACTAAGTCTCAACCGAGACATATTGACTTTCGTCAAAACATAGAACTTCGTACTTATGCATAACATTTCGGAACAAAAGAGAAAAAAAATTTATAGAAGGTTTTAACTTATCTTTGAGTTTTCGATGCTTGAAACTCCGTCATTCGTTTTTGGCAAATTGATCCCAAGTTAGAGGTTTCATGGATGTCAATCTTCTCCTTACTGATCCTCCGAGTGTCGTCCACCGTTGACTTTTTCTTTTGCGTCCTCTACATGCTGGCCTCTTGGCGGAGTAATCGTCTGGTTGTTGGCCTTTCCGTTTCTTCCCTGGGACGGCTGGTCTTGACGTCCTCCGGTCTGGAGTCCTTCTTGAATTTCTTCTGTTCCTCGTATTTTTGTGCCTCCTGTTGGCGTTTCAGTTTCCGGAACGGCGGCCTTGCTGGCACCTGACTCTGTGGCCGTGTGCGCGTTCTCCTTGATGTGTAATTTCTCCTGCCTATCCTTTGTAGGTGGTTTTTGTTTTCTCTTTACCACGGTTTCTTTACCCGGTGCATCTGTATTTTTTGTTTTTCTTAAACGCTGGAGTTTGAAAATTATTTTTCTTTTTGATACCGACGTCCGGGTTGTAGAAGTGCTAGGTCTCTCTTCAGTTCTCTGTTTCTTGGGTGGTGGAATAGTTGTTGTAGTCTCTGGACCTTCTACTTCGTTTAGACTTGAGTCCTGCAAGAAACTTTTAAGGATTTCAAAATCATTTGGATTATAGTATTTTTTCACCTGGTCGGGACTTGCTTTACAGATTTCCCCTCTCTCGTTCTTAAGATATAATACTACTCCTTTGATTTCCTGAATTACATAGGGGCCTTCAAACTTTGGAGCTAGCTTTGCCAGTAAAATTGTCTGGGGCACTTGATAAAGAAAATTTCCGCTTCAATACTTTATCCCCAACTTTAAAATCTGCTTCACGGCGTTTTCTATCATAATATAGTTTTCTGCCTATTTCTTGCCGTATCCGAGCTTTTAAGCGCCTGATCAATAACTTTTGCACATCTTTTTGTTTAAACTCCTGCTCTCTTTGTTGCACAAAGAATAATTTATCTAAAGGCGTAATTAACTTTCTGCCTAAAAATAATTCTGCTGGAGTTTTTTTCCTGGAGTAGTATCATGATTGTGCCGTTCTTAAAGC